TCCTAGCAAAGTCGAGGCTATCACAAGTTGGTCTATTCCTACTTCAATACACGACATTCGAAGTTTTCATGGATTTGCTTCCTTCTACCGACGCTTTGTCAAAGGATTCAGCACTATCATTTCTCCAATTACAGAATGTTTGAAAGGAGGCACCTTTACATGGAACCGTGAAGCCCAAAGAAGCTTCGAGCTTGTCAAGAAAAAAAATGACCGAGGCTCCAATATTGACGCTCCCTGATTTTGAGAAGGTGTTTGAAATCGACTATGACGCCTCAAATATTGGCATTGGTGCAGTTTTAAGTTAAGAAGGAAAGCCAATTGCATATTTTAGTGAGAAACTGACCAATTCTAGCACGAGGTATTCGACTTATGATAAGGAGTTTTATGCTATCATTCGTACTTTGAATCACTGGCACCATTATCTCATATCCAAAGAGTTCGTCTTATACTCATATCATGAAGCATTACAATTTATTAACGACCAACACAAGTTGAAAAGTAGACATGCTAGATGGGTCGAAATTCTTCAATCCTATAATTTTCACATGAGGCACAAATCTGGTAAACATAATCAGGTTGCTGATGGACTGAGTCGAAGGCACTCTTGTTTAACTACAATGGGAATAAAAGTTATTGGGTTTGAAGTTGTAAAGGACCTTTACAAAGATGATCCAACTTTTGGAAAAATTTGGGCAGATTGTTCTAATGCTTGTGTTGGTGTTTTTATGTTACAAGATGGATTTCTTTTTAAAGGGGCTCGATTATGTATTCCAGGTTGTTCACTTAGAGAATCAATAGTGGAAGAAGCTCATGGTGGTGGACTTGGCGGTCACTTTGGTCGAGACAAGACCCTTAATCTGGTACAAGAACAGTTTTATTGGCCTAAGATGGTGAGAGATGTCGTTCGACATGTTAAGAGGTGCAGAACATGTCACCTAGCAAAAAGCCATGGACAAAATACGGGCTTCTATACTCCACTTCCAGTCCCTACGGCATCCTGAGAAGAAGTTAGTATTGACTTCGTTATTGGTTTACCTCGAACACAAAGGGATAAGGATTCTATTATGGTCGTGGTCGATCGATTTTCTAAAATGGCACACTTTGTACCATGTGCTAAAACTCTAGACGCATCACATATTGCTGATCTTTACTTTAAAGAAATTGTGAAACTTCACGGTATTCCAAAAACGATCACCTCTGATCGTGACACACAGTTTGTTGGTCATTTCTGGAGGACTCTTTGGAGAAAGTTGGGCACTATCTTACAATTTAGTACTTCTCATCATCCACAAACGGATGGGCAAACTGAGACGGTTAATCGTAGCCTAGGAAACTTGCTGAGAAGCTTAGTCGGGTCGAAAATACGGCAATGGGATCTCTCGTTGGCTCAAGTTGAATTCGCGTACAATCGCTCGACAAGTCAAACCACGAGAGTAAGTCCTTTTGAAGTTGTCTATGGAAGTAATCCAATCAGCCCTTTGGATTTATCGCCGATTCCTACTACACATCAATTCAGTGGTGATGCAGAAAAACGAGTTGAGGAGATAAGACAGTTGCACGAAAATGTACGAAATCGAATACTTAAGAAGAATGAGAAGTATCAAGCTCAAGCCAACAAGCATAGGAAAGAAGCCTCTTTCAACGAAGGGGATTTGGTTTGGGTTCATCTTTGAAAAGAACGTTTTCCGAGGGGTCGATATGGGAAGTTAAAACCCCGAGCTGATGGTCGTTTTAAAGTTCTTAAAAGAATTGGTGAGAACACATATAAAATTGAACTTCCCGAGAACTATGGCGTTTCATCAACCTTTAATGTTGCTGATCTTTTCCCTTATCATGGAGAAACACTTGAAGAGAACTCGGGGACGAGTTTTCGTGCAGCAGAAGCGTTTGACACCGAATCTGGACAATCCATTTGACATCGAATATGGGCAAGGGGTTCATAGGGTCATTAACTTGGTAGTTCAAGAAACTGTCATTAATGCCGTTCGTGAATGACTCTTAATTTTCATTCTTTGATTGACTTATATATACTTCCTCCCTCATTGTATTGAGCAGTTGAATTTTGGAGTTGAAAATAATTTATATAAATAACAGCTTATACACTTTCTTCTCTTATCTCTTTGGTGGATTTCCATTGAGTGGCGAGTTGATTTCCTTTGAGAGTTTCACTTGTGTTTTTCCCTTTCATTCACCATTAGTTCGGTGTCATTAGGATGAGGCGATGCGAACCATTGGGATGAGATTCCCAACCTTGGGGTGAGATAGCCCCCAACTTAGGATGAGGCGATCACGAACCATTGGGATGAGATGCCCAACCTTGGGATGAGATATATGCCCAAACTTAAGATGAGATGTTCAACCATTGGGATGAGATGCCCAACCTTGTGGTGGGATAGCCCCCCAAATTAGGATGAGGCGATCACGAACCCTGTTATGGTTTTGCAGGACTCCAAGTGTCGTTGACATCATTGGAAGGAGTAGCTCGTAAGGGAGAGGTGTTGCATCTCGGATGTGAACGTGGGCGATGTTGTGCAGTTCGCGCTTCTCGGTGAGGAGTGGGTTGTTACATTCGAGACCTATGGTCTGAAGTGGATGCCCACGACCCACTAGCTAGGTGGATGTTATCTTAGAGCGGTGTGTGCCACTACTTCCGTGGCAACACGAGTTGAAGCTTCCGCGGTCATATGCTGAAGGTCCTCATGAGTTATCTGAAGCGTTCGAGGAGCAAGTAGAAGTTGATCATGTTGAGGACCGAGTGGGGCCTCGTGAGGAAGGTCTCGTGGGTTCTGCGAATTTTCTTCATTTTTTGTGTGACGACAAAATTGCCCCCAACATCTATTTTTTTCTTCTTTGTTTAATACTTTTTTTCTATTTTAATATATTTTGTTTGCATTTTATTTGATTTAAATATATTAAAATATAAATATTTGGTACTTAAAAAAATATGAAATACTGAAATACATAATATTTTATAGGGAAAATGAGGGATAACCCCCTTAAAACACAAAATAATAGAGTCCGGATTAATTTTATAATTGCACATTTGTCAGGAAATCCAAAACTAATATTTTAAATTGTTGGACCCCAGCCTTATTGCTATTACGCTACTGCCATTTCTTTCTATATCTTCTTCTTTATCCCTACGATAGTTGTCCTAGCTCGGATGGTGATTGGTGTGGTGTTTCCCTTTTGAAGTAGATCGACTCACTCGCACAAGCGTAAATTTCACGGTAGACTATTTCTTTAATTATTGTGAAGAAGACTCGGTCCTTCCACACACACACATCATGATCCAATAGTTTCTTCAAATAACTATATTAATTCTTTTAGAAAATGTGATAATCATTTTCCTCCATACAAGTTGAGTTGACTGCATTTCCTAGTTGTGGTGAATTCACTATATTTTGCTCAATTATTCTTAACGAAAAAATCTTTTATTTTTGTCATTTTGAGTTTCTTCATTTTTTTTTCTTAAATTTCTTCCGGTAGTTCAAACATCATAAGATTACAAACATCTTTACAATCCTATGATTGTTGAGAATTTGAACTACCGGAAGACAGTTAAGAAATAAATGAAGAAATTCAAAATGACAAAAATAAAAGGTTTTATTGAGAAAATAAAAAAATAAATAAAAAAACACTAAGTAATTTAATGTTTTGGAGAAAAAATATAAATATCAAAATTTGCCAAGTAAAAGTGACCGAAAATGTTAAAAATATAGTGGAAAATGGCTCAAACAAACTCTTTTGTTTACAGGCTAAGTAGGGGTATTTTCGTCATATTTTGAAAAAAATGTAATGTGAAGGGGGTTTTTGTATTTATGTGTAGTCGGGGGGGGGGTATTTGATACAAAGTTCATAGTACATGGGTGTTTTTGTATTTAACCCTTTTTTTAATGTAAATTAAAATGTAATATAAAAAAAATATAAAACATATAAAATCTTTTAATACAACAATATATGTTTAATTTCTGTTTATATTTTGTAATTACAGAATTATTAATAAATAAGTTTATAAAATTAAAAATAACTACACAAAAAAAAATTAAAAATAATTGTGTAATAAAATTTGGTTTAATTAAATTAATTATAGAGTTGAGAAGTTTTAAAAAATAAATCTTTACAATATATATTTTACTAATTGCTGAAAAATCCAGAGGGCATTTTTGTCATTTCACTTTTAGTCAATGCCTAAAAAGACAGTTTTGATTACAGGATGGGGCGTTGGTAAGTGTTTTTTGACATGTAGTATTTGCCAATTAGAGATTACATAGGAAAGGTATGGTATTGGCAATTAGCTCCAATATAATTTGACGGAAATTACTCGACTATTTCCTTAATCATGACCTGTTATGTGATAGTTGTCCTCGGATGGTGATTGGTGCGGTGTTGCCCTTTTGAAGAAGCAACACCACACACAAGCGTAAATTTCACGGTAGACTACTTGTTTAATTATTGTGAACAAGACTCAGTCCTTCCACACACACATACATCAATCTTCACCCATCAATATTAATTCTTTTACAAAATGTGATATTAATTTTCCTCTGCAAGTAGTTGGTGGACTTGAATTTTCCTCCATACAATTTGAGTTGACTGCATTTCCTAGTTGTGGTGAATTCACTATATTTTGCTCAATTATTCTTAACGAAAAAACAAACTCCTCCATTCACACATTACTATAGTCTTCTCTCACCTCTCCCATCTAATTAATCATATCCCCAAACTTATAACTTATAAGCTATAGATAGCTCTTCAAATTAATCACCAAATATTCATACATACATACATACATACATGTATATCCTCAGCCAAAGCCTCCTCCTCAAATTTATTTATTTCTTCATCACCACCCAATTATATTTCATCCAAAACTCCCATGGAAACCAAATCAACTGCACCCCTTCTTCATGTGGCGAAATTCGCAATATTAGCTATCCTTTCAGGCTCAATACCGATCCAAAACGTTGCGGTCCTCCCGAATACGTACTTTCATGCGAAAACAATACAACTTCACTATACCTCAACTCTCATAAATACCTCGTCCACGAAATCAACTATACCAAAGATACCATCCGTCTTGCTATTCCTAATGTCACACTAATTGAGAGTTGCTCATTCCCCAAATACCCTTTATTCGATGACATGTTTTATTCCTATTACTACTATGTGGCAAACAGTGTTCCAATTAGTTTTATGAGCTGCCCATATCCAGTTAATAGTTCGAACCTTTTGGAAATTACTTCTCATTGTGCAGACAAAAAATTATATGGTGTGAATGGAAGTCGCGCATATATAATATTTGGCAAAGATGTACACCAAGTAAAGGATATGTGCGAAATAGACCTGGTGGTGATGACTTCACTGCCACTTAAAATAAAAGAGAATGTTTCCTTTTCAACTATGCACAAAGCTCTGCTAAATGGTTTTGAGGTTTCGTGGATTTTGCCTTTGAGCAATGAATGTGTACTCAGTCCAATTGGTGGATACAATTTTTGCGGTAAGACTCAATGAATTATGTTTATGTAATATTGTTCATCATTTTTTCATGCATAGAAGAACATTTTCTCATCACTTGAACATTTTAAAATTTTACACTATTAAGATTCAATCAATACATTTATGTCATTCTAATGCTCTTATTCATGCAGCTGACTTCCCAGCTTGGTTGGCCCATGCTCTTCAATGTTAGTAATTCTTTAACTCTCTTTTGTTGTTCAAATAATTCCTCATTTATCATCTAATTATTCAATTCTAAGGTAAACTAACTCCCTAATATATGACTAAATTTAAAAAAAAAAAATCTCTTCAATTTACAAAATTTTACTCACAATTATAAATCCCAACGAAAAAAAAACATAAAAAGGATAAAATACTATTTGCACCCCTATACTATGAAAAATGTCGCATTCACCCACTGTAGTATTAAAAACTAAAAAAAAAACATGTCGTTAGTTATTCTGCCAGTCAAAGCTGATGTGGCACGTTGACCACATATATTTCAATATTCTGGACATTTTTATCCCTTGCTATAATTAGCGTGTCTACACACACATATATATATATATATATATATATATATAGGGTAAATAGCACTTAACCCCCTTATGGTTTTGACATTTTGCACATGACCCCCTTATGGTATTAAATTAGGCACATAACCCCCTTGTGGTTTTGACATTTCGCACATGACCCCCTTATGGTATAAAATTAGCACATAACCCCCTTGAATAGAAAACTGGAAAAGACTAAATTCCCCCTAAAGTTTATTCAAATTTAGAAATCAATTTGAAAATCTTTAATATTGTCATTAATTATGATTATTATATTACTATTTTCTATATAATATATTATATTATAGTTGTTTTCAAACTTTAATTTTTTTTAAAACAAAGTCTTTATTTTTTTTATTCTTTTGGAAAAATCTAAAAAAAGTATTTCTCCAAAGTTGAAATGAAAATTAAATTAAAAAAAAAATATGTGCGGTAAAATTCAAAAAAAATGAGAAATATAATATATTATTATTTTTGTACTATAGAATAATATATTATAATTTCTCCAAACACATTAAGCTTTTCATTTTATAGAATAATTATTTTTAAATTAAAACAATTGATAGGGGTAATTTAGTCTTTTCCCTTTTCTATTCAAGGGGGTTATGTGCTAATTTCATAACATAAGGGGGTCATGTGCAAAATGTTAAAACCACAAGGGGGTTATGTGCCTAATTTCATACCATAAGGGGGTCATGTGCAAAACTTCAAAACCACAAGGGGGTTAAGTCCTAATTTCATACCACAAGGGGGTCATGTGCAAAATGTTCAAACCACAAGGGGGTTAAGTGCTATTTACCCATATATTTACTATTTTATACAATTAACAAAAAAATTATAAAATTATAGAAATAATTATAATTTTGAAAATTTTAAATTGCAAATTATAAATTTATTACAAAAAAATAATAGGAATTACTAAATAATGAAATATGCTCTAATAATTTATAAAATGACAAAAAATATATATAAAAAAAATACTTTATTATAGAAATTCAATAAATATTATAAAATAAAATAAAAATATGTACAAGAATCCTGCTAGGCCCATCCCACCATCGAAATTTAGAAAATAATTCTCTTCCCACCGTTCTCCAAACTGTACAAAAATTCAGCAACATTTCTCTTCATCATCTTCTAAAAATCATCCAAATCCCATCCCACCACCAACAACTGTC